CAGGAAAAACAAGTGATTAAAAGATAAAAGGCAGCGGGCGGACGATGAGGGAGCGGCGGTGTGTGATTAAATGGCGGAGGTGGTCCCGCTGGGCTACGGGCCTTATTGCATTTTAATAGGGGGGCTGGATGACCCCTGACCCTTTGCGAGGCAGTGGTAGCACCTTAGCGCGGATCAAAACTACCAGCCTTGACAAACACCCCCCCCTCTCTCCTCTCGCTGGAAGGCATCTGGGCATTGAAGAACGAGGTGAGCTACATGTGTGTTTGCGAGAGCTTGCAGGCAAATGTGTTTATCCTGCTGCTATGGCAACCGCAGCAGTAGCCTTGGGCAAATAACAACAAGCAGAGCCGCACGTATGTGTGCGTGTTCGCCAGAGACTATGTGAGGAGAGGGGTTTTAAAATACGAGCCGTGTGATTTAATGCAAGTCTTCAATTCATACATTTCAAAGAGCTGTCCTCCTCTCTCCCCCACCCCACTACCCCTCACCTCCGCCTCCCTCTTCCTCTTTCCGTCTCTTCCCCCCATCGCGGCTGGCCTGCCCCTCAATCATCAGTCCCTCCTTTTCACCTTCTCTTTCTCCCGGCTCCACATGCTAAGTGGGAACATTGTTACGGTCAATTTGTCCCATTCAGGGTCCCAGTGGGCAGCGTCCCTGCCCTGACAGCCTGCAGACAGAGACCACACTGCCTGAGAGGCCTTGACATCAAGGTCCAGAGGAGACTTTAAGGGGGCGGAGGAAGAGAAGGGGGGAAAAAACACGGGGGGGAAGAGAGGTAATGAGGGGAGCAGAGGTAAAAAAAAAAAAAAGTGGATGGGGGGGAAATGCTGAGGAGAAAGACTGACAGGGAGAAAAGAAAAGAAGACTGGGGGTGCCAGGTTTAACACGAGCCCCCAGACTCTACAGCTCAATAGCGTTTGGAGCTCATCTGTCAATCTCGGAGCGGGCCGATGAAGGTGGCGACAGCTTCGCTCCCACGAGGGAAACTTCTGAAACATCCACCGGTTTTGGCTCAAACTCAGGAGAACATAAGACGGACTAACCTGATGACACAATCAGGGCGTTTTATTTAAACTTGGAAAAGAAGGACATTACACAACTGAGTCTGATAAGTTGTGTAAGACTGCAGTTGGGCTGAGCGGCTCTTCTTTAGGACGAGTAAACTGACAGTTGTGTGTAAAAGTCAGTGCGTCGGCCCTTTAAGTCAGTCAGAAAGCAACCGGACTTCTCTTTTTAGGTTCTTGAAGATGTGTCGTCTCTCATCCTTCAGTTCTGAACTCGTCCTGCTTTAGCGTATTAGCTGCTAGTCATGTTGGTCCTGACATTTTTGGGTCAATTATCCAACTCCAGTGTGATATTTTTTGTGTGTATTTGCTTTGTAATGTTTTTGATCAGTTGAAGCTGTTTTATCTGATGATTTGGAGTTTTAAAATGTATATCCAGACAGATAAATAGATGTAGTTCCTTCATAAATGTTGGGTTTTACCTGGTTTCTAGTTGAGCTGATTGACTTTAGGATCTTTTTTTTGTATTTTATAGCTTAGTTTTCTGAAGTTTTACATGTTCTGAACTAAAGAAACCTCTTGGATGAGAGTTGAAACATCTTCAAAAACAAGTCCGGTTCCTTTTTACTGAAGCTCCGAGGATCATCATGACCTGGATGGCGGACAATCTATAGATCGTTAGTTTCAATCAAATCCGATATGCAGCATTTTCATGATTATTGGTATCAATATTTTTGTTTAATTGGTTTTGAATGTAGTAAATGAATGTGCTGCTTTGGTTCTGATGTAACGTCCTCTTTGTGTCTCAGCTCTATCTGACACCACAAGGAAGAACCAATCAACTTTGAAGAATAAATGTTAAGAAGTTCTCTTTTGATTACGCACGCAAAACATAAATAACTACAGGCGTTTCAGTCAAGTTTTGAGTTGGCGTTCTTCTAAATTCTGACACCAAGATCTTCATTTTTACTGCAGATGTGTATCCAATAATCAGCATCATATCGGCCCAGAAGAAACCATGGTACTTTAAGTTATAATAAAGGATAGTTGAGGCGACAACACTGACACCACAAATGCGATAAAGAAGTTCTTATCTAACAAAAGGACCTCTGTTCCTGACCCCAGATTTCCAGTTCCTACATACAGGTCTTTAACAATATGTTTTGCAATTATAGTCTCAGATTCTGGGAATTGAGAAAAAAAAAATCACATTGATGATGCAAGACTTCCCGTCCTTAATTTGCCCTGCAGAAAAAAAAAATGAAGCTTTGTCTGACTGATCTATGTTTTTCATGTCTATGCCGGAGCGGTTCCCCCCCCTCCAGTCCCACAGGTGATGTAACCCCTCGGCGGGGTGAAGCGGAGGGATTAAGTCACTGCGTAAAGACACCTGTTATTCTAGCACATCGGGTGCGACACTTGCTCCGAGGCGAAGGGGGCTGCGGAGCGGCTGTCGGCCTCAGAAACGAGGCGCAAACAGGGCGTCCATTCAAGTCTGAACGCCGCTGAATCACACTTGTACGGGCACAGACGCACTGACTCACACACTCGCGCAGACACACAAAGTCCATACAAGACAGGAAGGCAAACAGACACAACGTGACGAACACTGGGCCTTGTGTTTCTTTTTCCGATAGACAAACTCTCTCTCTTTGACCCGCGCAGTAACAATTCTTCAAACTTAATTGGCGATTCAGGCCCTCGCAGTAAAGACAGCGGGGATCTGTCAAGGCCATGTGTGTACGGTGGGATGCTGCAGATCTCCTCTAAATTAGCTAACTTTATAATAAATCACTGGGCACTGCTAGCCAGGGATTAGCCAAGCTCCAGCGAGCAGTTTGTTAAGCTGCGAGGAGAAGCACTGGGGACGGGAGGGAAAAACACAGCCAAAAACTGAAATCAGCACTGGGACCTTGGAACGGTAAAAACCCCCCCTGCCTGGTTTCCTGGGCACACATTTAGCCTTGTTATCTGAGTTCTCCATTGACACAAAAAAATCCCACGTTGGGAACTTTTGCTTTTGATTCTGATCTCCACTGATCATGTTTTTAGTGTTCCGGACGTCGGCTCCAACATCAGGTACACGGCTTTCTTCAATTGCTTTCCTTAGGTTTGCCTTACATAATTCTCTGTGCAATCTTTCCCCCTACTGACTCATTTCTTTTGGAAGGACTAATGCTTCCTACAGTCTGGTTATTTATATACTGACTGAGAAAACATTTATCCTCTCTCCCCTGCGTGCAAAAGGCACTCTTTAGAGGTAGCTTATTATAAAAAAAGACCCAATATCATTGAAAGAAAAGCCACCTATCCGGAAAAAAGCTGCAAAATTAACATCATGTGTCTAAAAATGACCAGCAAAAAGTCGCCTTTATCCTGAAGTCTCACAAAGTGTCTTGTCCTTGGCCTCTAAGCAAATAAAAAAAACTGTTTCTGGTGTCACAGGAAGATCAGAGATCATATCAGACAGGTATTTCCTCTGTTGTCTATTAATTCGTTCCCTGTAGCTCTTGTCTTGTAATTACTGGTGTTGCGATGGGCCTTGCAGAAAGGATGTCAGCCTGCGAGAGAGAAAAAGGGCGCCACTCCTCCTCTTTCAAGTCAAAGAAGCAGCGACACCCAGATGATCAGACAATATCTAGTTTATGATCATCTCTCCTTTCATCCCGGCTCCTTCCCTCTCACCACCTCCGTGCGTCTCCCTTCTGCGAGGAAGCACATTCTGCTGCAGAACATCAACCCTCCCCGATGTATCATCCGAGCAGCAGGGGGGGGGGGGGGGCAGGAAGGATCTCGGTGTAACCTGCGGCAGCACCCCTGAGCCCCCGGCTGTCAGACTGGGTGACAGCCCCGAGGAAGACGAATTAAAGAGGCTCCGAGGGGTTTGATTGAGCGACGAGGGGGGGGAAGGTTTTGGTGGGAGGTGTTCCTTGGGCTGGACAAGGAGCACTGTCTCACTTTTTTTTTTTTTTCCTCTTTAGATGTCTCCCTTTCCTACTCTTCTCTCCTCTCACATACACTAGGACTCATTATAGGAATGCCCTGACCCCTTGGGGACTTTACTTACTTCTCTCTTTCCAGTCCACAAACCTCAGCGCTGGACAAAAAGCCAGCTGAATGGCAATTTGAATTTGAAACAGGAGCCACAAAAAAAAAAAAAAAAAAAAAAAGGTCAAATGGGGGGAAAACTTTAGGGAGACTTGGAGCCAGCTAGTGAGAGTTCTTATACAAAAAAAAAGAAAAGGAAAAAAAAAAATGTGATTCTGACACCATCCAGCCAACTAGCTCAATGTACTGTAAAGATAGCAGCTACTGCAGAGGGAGAGAGGGAGAGATGGCAGAGCCTGCAGGCAGGAATAGTGGACATTAGAGGCCCAGCGGGTAGGACTGTGGAACAGACACAACCGCCAGCAGATAACATGCAATCACACAAGTCAGAATATACAAACAAACACAGTGGGAAAGGCGAGCAGAGGAAGACTCCACAGTTCTGCAACTCACTGGATTATCCAACAATGTCACAAAAAATAAATAAATCACATTCACCACAGCAAGGAAAGTCACATTTTTTTTGTCTGACCCCAACATCACAATGCAACTTATGATCCACCTCAAGTGTGAGACACAAAATCAATGTAAAGGAGTGAGTCTGAATCCAGCAGATGCATGTTTTTAAAGCGCCTCTTCAGCCTCCGGACAGCTGAAAACCTGCTTGTTTTGTGCGTGGCTGCAAGCTACGCAGTATGATATTGAGAATTACACAGTGAAACCCATTGCAGCGCACCACATAGCAAAGATTACAGATGAGCCTGGTGTTAATGACTGGCTTAGTTCATTTTAATCTCGTTCCTGTAACTAAAATCCTTCGTTTTTTTGTGCGTTTTTCTTTTTTTTTTTAAATCAATTTCTCCAAAGCATCAAGGCGCGACAGAGCCTCAGAGCGCACAGCCACGAATCCAAGCACCAACACCCAGCACAACTCGGGTCACTTACCTCTGATTATCTGGGGAAAGGTGCCGCCGAGAGAACAGCAGTGTGAGTCAATTCTGTGTCCCGGTGGATCCCAACAAAAAAAAAAAAAAAAAATCCAAGAGATCAGAGTAGAGAGAGCAGCAGCAGCAGCCTCGTTAGTGCGTTACCACAATCCTGTGCAGGGGCTTTTTTGGAAAACTACTCCTCCCTGTCGCACCTGTCTCTGGCAAAAACTGATCCCGTACGCCGGCCTGACATCCCTAAGACAACTGTCTCAGGGGGTTGTGTGTCCAACCCCCCCCTTACTGCTACGCGCACACACACGCATGCACACACACGCGGCACCACCTGTCCCCGGTGCAAAACAGCCCACAAAGAGCTTCTATGTCGCGCAACGACACATGGCTTGTCCCCCTCCTTTTTTTTTTTTTCCTCCCGTTTCAGTCTCTGCAGCAGCACCAGGAGCTCCTCAAAGACAGCCGTCCGAGATCCTCCAAGTAATCTGGAGAGCAAGCGAGTGATGAAAAGGGCTGGTATAGTCCAATCCAGCACACGACTGGCACCGAAATTCACATCTGCCAGCTTCCTCGTCGCTCGCCCCAGTTGTGGTATCAATCTCCCCCGTCCCCACAATAGTTGGTCTATTTCGCCGCTGCGCACGACTGCTGCTCTGTCATTGCTGCGTCTTTTCTCCCCACTTCGGGTCTCAGGGAAAGGAAAAAAATAATTAAAACACTGTTCCTTTCTCTTCTTACGCGCCCCCAGCTTCGGGATCGGGCGCACGACAAAGTCCCATTCATCGGTTGTTTTATTTTTTTAAAATTTTCCTCTTCCTTGAGCTCCGGAGCTTTTTTTTTTTTTTTGGGTGAAGTGGGAGGACCGCGGCGTTTGTCTTCTAGCGGTAGTGTGAGCTACAGCATCTCCAGCACTACTGTCATCCACGGGAGACTCCTGGAAGCCTGTTAGTGCCAAAACGTGAAGCAGAATTACGCAGCGACTGGAATGGAATTGATTAACGACTAATTGGGTTTAATTGCGAGGCGTCGAATCAGCCACAACCTCCTCAATATCAAAGTCAGACTCCTCCTATTGTCGAGAGTGTGTTTAATGGCACAGCGAGGAGAGGAGAGCATTAAACTTGACGGACACGTTTGGGGTCAGATTCCACCTGGGGCGCACACCTGAGGGGAGAACCGCTGCTCTTGGATAAATTGTATTACAACGAAGCTTTGTGCTTTTATTACAAACAACAGCAGAGTGTGAAAGGTTACATTCACTTTGCTGACTTTTAAATGAAACCACGAGGTTGATCCGAAGCAGTTTCTCCATAATACTGAGCATTGATTCCTCATTTTTTGGGGGGATAATCTTGCAAAAAGTGCACAAAAGAAGCTCTGTGGATCCAACTTCGCAGCACCTCCAGCACTGCTCCTTTGTCTCTTCACTATTTTACTGTCAACTGGCAACTTAAAACATTTTAAATGAATTATTCAGAGCTGAATTACTTTAAAATGCGACCGTAACTCAGTCAACAGGGCCAGAAACCTGTCAACTTGCACCAAGTTTTCATCGGGCGTAAATATTTCAACAGGAAACACTTCAGTTAGTCTTAATTGCAATTCCTGAAAGTCCCATTCACTCGTAATTCCAATGAAATAATTCATAAAACTTAAAAACACAGTTTCCACGCCCGAGTTTTAAGGTCTTGGCGCATTTGCATCTTCTCGCTGAGCGTAAATTAACACAACAGAGGAATAATTTAGTCTCATTAAAGCTCAATAAGCCTCCAGCCAAACTTAATTGTAGCTCTATAGCTACGATTTGGGGTTTGTGTTTGAAATTAATGTGTAATCAGTTCACCGCTATGATCCCAAGTAGGAATTTAACCCTCATTCAACATAGTTTGCATGTGCAAAGACTACAGACTGACAAGAAAACACCAATTACAGCCGAACGTGAACTGGTTTCGTCTCAAAACATTATTAGCCGTGTTAACTATGTCATCTGAAATCAGGATTTTTATTATTTGAGGAAGTTCATTTGCATATTGTGTGTAAGGAAAATACTTTTGCAGCTTTAATTTCATCCACATGAGTGTTTAAAAGTGTGTTTACCGTCCTTTGATGCCGCTTTCATTTCATTTCCAAGTTATTTCTGTTATACTTTTATGTCTCAATATTTCTTCAGTGCCAAATCTGGCTCATCTTGGTCTGAATGGAATTATTGCCAAAAAAAAAAAAAAAAAGCGAGAGAGACAAAACACTACTTATTGCATCCAAGACTGTATTATGGAGCTATATTCTGGATTTATAGCAGCCTAACACAAGTTGGAGCTCTGAGAAACAGAGAAGCCCTCCTCAGATCCGACTCTTTCCATACGCCTCCCTCTGCAGCTTCAAAATGGCTGCATTTCTGCTTTTTCCCACAGTTACACCACCACACACACATGTGGAAGTCGTGCTATTTTAATCTTATATTGTATAATAGAACACAAACATTTAAATTTATGGGTCTGAAACTTTTTGACTTTTGAAATCGTCTCATTTCAGCAGCGGGGGTTTCTACGGACGGTTGACGGAGCACATTAGGAAATATGCATCTATCTCCTTCAAAATGACTGACAGACTGTCTGATACTTTAAATGAGGTCTCATTGCGAGCGCGCACTCAATAAACAGTTCCATCTATTAAAAACTGCACAGGCGGAACTGGCTGATTTCGCCCGGGGTCCCGGCGCGTTGGTATTTTTAAAAAAAAGTACAAATTAAAACAGAAACAGAAAACAATGACTTGAGGTCATTTGGAACAAAAGAGAGCGAAAAAAGTGAGGAAAGCTGGAATGAAAGAGCAAAGCACACGCGAGATATGACAAGAAGTTTATACCCATGAGGTCTCTGGAGAGTTAAATTGGTAGAATGAGGGTTAAAAGTCAGGCAGCCCTCCATAAACAAGCCTGTATGGACGTGCGAGTGGACAATGCCGGTGCTGCGTTACACAGCGAGCGTTAAAGGAGTTAAAGCCTGCTGGACTTTGCCATGAAATTGCTGGAAGCCAAAGCCACTTTTAAGCTTTGATTCATGAATAATTAATGCTGAAATAATGACTTCTCCAGGCTTGAAGGCTCATGTGTGCGGCTCGCTCCCTCTGCCATCTCAATAAATCTTCCTCTCCGAGCGGCCTGACAGCCTTCATGCAAGCTGCTAATCAGCTGTGGCGAATCAGCTGGCTCCACCTCTGATTTTGGGGGGAAAATATGCAAAAAAAAAAAAACCCTCTATCACTGAATCTAATTTAGCCCGAGGATATTTTATTCAAGCATCTCGGGGTAAGATATTGTTACTTCAGGTTCATTAAGTGAGTAAAGGTCTTTTTTTTA